ATCTGTTTTGTTCTCTTGTACATGTATATTTAGAGCACATGATAGCATCTTGCACACAGAAGCATGAACTAAAGGGTTCTTGGGTCAACAGTCCCTCCCTTTCCCCTTCTGAACAGGTTAGGGAACTGCAAACAAATGACTTAGAATGCTGAGCAGACCGTAAGGGATATCTCTTAGCTATTAAGTGCTATCATGTCGTGCCTAGCCTGGCAAGCCATAAAGCTGAGCAGAAGGAAAAAAGTGTATCTGATTATTATTAGCAATTAGAAGGATGTTCTCGTTGTCCATTCTGTGGTACAGCTGATATGACTAAGGCATTTGTTCCCCCTTTTGTATTCTCCACCTTCCAGGCAAAGGGATAGACTGTAGGTTCTCAGAATTTCTAGGAAAAACTGATATAAACTGACTTTTTACCTTCCACCTAATACTAAGCTGCATGGTTAACACATTCATTACAAAAATTCTCTTCTTTGGGAAGCCTGGAATTTCCCAGCCTCTTTTCTTGTCCACAAGTACATTTTAAATTGAGATAAAATTCACATACTATAAGCCCTACCCTTTACTGCACAATTCAGTATTTTGCACCAAGTGGAATCACTCAATCCAGAATATTCTCATGACACCACTTTTCTTCCCTTTAACCCGGAAAAGAAAAATTCTCCATTAGCAAGCCATTCTCTAGTTTCTCCCTCTCCAAAGCCCTGGCAACCACGAATGTACTGCATACAGTGTGTTCAGTCTTCCTCTTTACATTCATGAGACTGAGACACACAGATAACACGTGATTTACAAAGTTAAGAGTCAACTTGGAGATTGAGCATTTGCTATTATTATTATTATTATTATTATTATTATTATTATTATTTTGTCAGCTTGACATAATCTGGAGTCACCTGGGAAGAAAGAGCCTCAGTTGAAGATCTACAAGCATGCAGGGCATTTGATAAGAGGTAGAGCAAGAGGATCAGAAGTTCAAGGTCATCTTTGGCTGCATAGCAAATCTGAGAACAATCTGGGATTCATGGGACCCCATCTCAAAAAAAAAAAAAATCACACATGATAAAAAATCACACGATACTGGTGGAAAGCGGCTGCACTGGCGGACACAGGAAGAGTAAGGCTGCATGGTTGAGGGGACAAGTATCTTGAAAGGAGAAGTGCCCACATGCCCAGGGAACCACCTGTTCCTTGTATATCAACTAAATGGGTCCCAGAGATGCTTGTCACTTCCGTTTGCCTGCTAAAGTTAAGGCATAACTGTGCTGACACTGCCTCCTTCCTGGTTAATGGCCTCTTACATGGTCAGGGAGGAAGTCTGATTTTTTAGACTCTGTCTGAACTTTCAAATAAGTAAACCAATTTATTTAGTTATATAAATAGTTTATGTAACTATCATACTACATCCTAAATGTGTACATGTGAACACTAATTCTATAGACGAAAATCATCAGAATCCCTTTGCAAAGATGAGGCATACATTTATTGCACGCCTTCATCAAGATTACAAAAACCATTAACAAAAAGAAACAGTCACTGTTCCAAAGATATAAGTCTGAACCTTGGCTTTGTGCTCATTCAAAAATATTGTTAAAGCAGCAATTCCAAAAGACAAGTCAAATCTAAATTTTATTCATTAAAACTGAGACAATGAAATAACTAAGAGTAGACAACTTGAAAAGAAATCTGTCTTTTGCCTGGAATATTTCAATCTGCTAATATCAACGCATAGGCAAGAACATACTACTAGCTGAATAAACACACTTTCCCTTACAAACAAGTAATTTAAAGTTATAGAATTCCTTCTGATGACTACATTATCATCTTTAAAATAAAAACAACGACTAAGATTCTTATGTAGATAATCTATTCACAGGACTGGTCAGTAAACAACAAAATGGAATCTCCTTGCTCATCAAATATTTTCCTAACATTTAAACATATAAATTTGCTTACAAGGTCAGCCCCCAAATGTCTATAACAAAATAAAGAAATTAGGTAAGTGATGAAAAATGGAAATAAGTGAAAGAATATGGTATATTTTTCAAATGAAATTGGAACATGCCTACATATAAAACACAACTCTATTTTCCTTTGTTACATACAGTATTCTAAATTTTACTCTTCTGAATATAAATAAACTACCAGCCTAAAGAGGACTGGTGGGTCATGACCACATACATAGAGAAAAAGGTAAACACAGAATTAATATATATATGTTAGTCCTAAAAAACTCTTCTCTGTTTTGAGAGGGGACTCAAGATACTATATAAAAGTAATTTCAGTAGTCACTTCCAAATTTCATCCATTTTAATGCACTCTTGTGATGGGAAGGGGAGGCTGATCGGAACAAAAAGGCAAAAAGAAAAATTTTGCAAAAAAAAGTTTTTAAAAATAGTTTTTAAAAGGACATGACAAGGCAAGAGTGCACTTAGGAAAATTTCCTTCTTAATGAGCATTTTTATATATTCTCCTTAAATAAAATCCAGGGTCAGGCATTGCCCAAGTTTATCTAGACAAGCCTTTGATAAACTTTAAGGTTGCTGAATAACTTATGGAGAAGCAGGAACAGATTTTCATTCTAAGAGTCTGTGAGGAAAAAAAAAAGTCACAAGTATACACAAACTTTAATGTTTTGAAATGGTCATCCTAAACAATTTACTTAAATTCAGAGTTTATAATCCCTCTCTCCATCCAAGCTCTTAAGTGAAGACTGAAACAATCTTTTTTTGAATTCCTGTGGGCTCCTTCTCTATGGAGCATGTGTTTTTGTCAAAAATCTGAGACTCACTCCCAATTTTTGGCCTGTGATTTCTGGAAAAATGTTAGTAAGGAACCAGTAAAAATGTCTTAAAACATGCTTACTTCTGAAATAATTTAGTTTGGAAAATACTTATATTTTTAGTCAAAGAATTGCTTTGAAAGTTTACAATTTTTAAAAACAAGATCAGTTCAACAATTGTCAAAATAAAATAACCATAACTACAATACCATCCACTGAGAAACACACCACTTCAGGGGAGCTTAGTTCACATAAGTGTGAAAATCGCTTTTCCATCTTCAAAACTGAACACTGCCCATTATGTTAAAAGACACAAAAGTGTTCCTAGAAATCGCATGGTGGGTGAACGGGGGACAGGAGGGATATATGATTGGACTGTAGATGGACATAGATCCTCAAAAAGCAATCTAGCAATTCAGAATGGAAAACTGAGGCCCAAGAAAGACAAACTAAACCTAGGTCCTCCTCCCAGTGAGTCCTTTGTTCACTCACAGTAAGGGTTGCTGAGAGTGCCAGCTGCCAGGTGCTGACCATGAGCTTAAAGGCAGCCATCAACAATTACCAAGAGGCCTGTTTTCCCCCTTGCAATCTAGAAATAAATCCTCCAAATTTCCTGGTTAGGAAGAACTCTTGGGGGAGTGGAACAATCTTTGCAGGACTGGGCCCACTTTCAGTTTCACACATTTCAGTAAACACATTTGGGGTCAAGCTTCAGAGAGGTCTCAATTGTGTTTACTTTAAAAGTATTAACAAAGGGAGGCTCAGTATTCTGAATGAGTCCCATTCTAGTACATTCACAACTTAAGGAAGTGCAACCAGAAAATGCCCTATATTCACAAATAAGTTCACAGAGCCAGTGATGTGATGTATTGCTATACAGGTCAGTTCAGCCCAACAGCTCACGGTTACAAAGAACAGGATGTGAATGTCTCACAATCTCCTTTTAACCTGAGTCTAGTTTTCTGATATACCTGTCTGTCAAAAAAGACCCCCCACCACCTGTGGTGGCACACATCTGTAATCCCTGTATTTGGGAGATGGAAGCAAAACTCAAGAGCTCAAGGCTAGCCTGGGATGCCTAAGATCTCTCTCAAAAAAAAAAAAAAAAAAAAAAAAAGATCTCCAAACTTGCATTCAGATCAATACCCTCTTCCAATGAAACATATATCAACATCAGGCCTTTTTCTCCAGATCACATTTCTTCAACGTTTATTTCCTCAAAGAAAAATTAGTTTTTAAAAAACCTCAAATTTAATGTGCTGGGCTAAAGGAAATTCAAATACTATGTGATCAAAATAGTAATAGCTCTAATTATACATTCACACATTTTGATTTAAGAAAAAAAAAAAAAAGGACATGCAACGAATTTCCCTATCAGCATGAATCATATCCCATTTTGCTTGGACTTTTACATTCTTTAACATTAGTCTTACACTTAAATGTTTTGCGGTGCTGTGGATCAGATTTAGGCTCTTGCACATGCTGGGCACAGTCTACTGCTGAGATAACTCACAGCCCACATTTAAGTGTTTGGTGCATCTCAGTTCACAGCACCTTTCTTTAAAGTAGGAAACCATAGACAAAGCTTTTAAATAAAACAACCCAGGAGGAAAGAAGGCACTTTGAAATACTGAGTAGTGCTCTGTGTACCCAGTTTCAGATATCCCCAAATGAACCATGGCTTTCCAGAGTTCTTACAGACAGCTGCGGGGTGACTTCTGATAAAGTACAATCATCACCAAGGCACTTGGACTTCCCAGAAGCTGCAGTCAGCTCCCAAAAAGAAGCTGCTCTTCTATTTCTCAAACCTCCAGATCTGATTTTTATCAAGGGCGTCACATGTTTTCATCTGAACACTAGGTCGGCCTTCAGATGTTCGGTAAGCGCTGAGACACAGTCCTGTGTGAGGGTGAAAAACAGTCCCGTCTTCTCTGAAATGCCAAATGATGTTCACTGGAACAGGGAGCCCATCTTTGGGACAGTTCTGCATCCCCACGTAATCCTTATGTTCGGGGACCTCTGCACATAATTCAGTCACAGAATTAAATCTGATTTCTTTTTTTGAAGTGTATTCAAAGAATTGATTGCCTCCTTGACCGTGACATCCAAACAAAGAGAGGTTAGCACCTGTGGGGTTGTTGTCAGGAGCGTTATAATCTAAACACTCATTAGAGATGCCTATACTACGGACAGCTCCATGCCAGCCAGGTCTATCCTCCGGGACATGTAAGTTGGAAAACACGTTTTTCAAATACCAATCGAAGCTCTTACATTTCAGCCGTTCCCTCAGCAGCCTCCTTTCAGAAATATCACCATAGGCCTCTTTCCTCGCCGGCGGGTTTCGGTTATAGAAATGCTCTTTGTATTCATCCATCCATACTTCAGCTGCCCTAGCGGTATTCTGTAGGAAATTGGGGCGAGCATATGGCGCCCGCTTGGGAAACACGTGGCCCACGTGGGAACATGGGTGGATCTCCAGTTTGCCACCACACTGCCAAACCCGGAAAGACAGCTCAAGATTTTCGCCTCCCCAAACTTCCATCCCAGTGTCATAAGTTCCCAGGTACTGAAAATACTTCTTGCTGACAGCAAACAGTCCTCCTGCCATGGTGGGTGACCTGATGGGGTCGATTCTTGATGTCCGCCGGTCCCTTTCATGTTTGGGGACAGAATGCCACTGGAATGTTAAACGCCAGTCAAACCCACCAATCATGGGCTCCCCAGTCTGCATGTAGAATTCAAAAGTATTCCAATCAATAGTATCGATAACAGGACATACAATTGCTGTTTCATCACTACTAATCCTTTCCAAAAGTGGTTCCAACCAACCAGAGTTACACTCACAGTGACAATCCAGGAAAGTGAGGACATCCCCGGTGGCAAAAGTGGCCCCAATCAGGCGGGCCCGGACTAGGCCCTCTCTCTTATTGGTTCTAATTAAGCGAACTCTATCGAGATTGCTGATATAAGCTTCAAGCTGAGCCTTCAAATAAACTCTGTCACTTAAGTCATCGACCAAGATGATCTCCTTCAAAAGCACCGCAGGAGAAGTCTCTAAAACGCTGTGAATGGTTCGAAGCAGAGTGGACCAGGCCTCGTTATAGAAGGCGATGATGACGGAGGTGGTGGGAAGCGACCTGTACTGGAATTTCTTGGCTTTACACTCAGGCATTCTTTTATCCTCTATGTGGCGGTGCAGAGAGATCCTGTCACTGAGGTAAATGTTGATAGCATATCTCTCAATGAGTTCTTCTTGCTGCTTTAGTTCGCCCTCGTTGAGCTGGAGTTTGCTTGCTCTCCCCCATTCCCCAAGAGCACGGGAATTTGCAGGGGGCTTTATATAAAGAGGCTGAGACAAATCCTCTTCCCTGGTCTCAAGGTCTGAGAGGCGCCTTGGCCCCAGCTCCCTGGCATGGCCGGCTCCTGGAGAGGCATACAAAGTGGAGACTGAGAGCTCCACCAAGATATACGCCAGTGTTAAAAGCGCGAGCAGCAGGCAGCTCTTGCCTGCCCAAGTCCACCTCACGGCCATCCGGATCCTCGCGGGTCGTGCGTAGACTCGGCCACAGGAGCCAGCACGCGGGGGAAGTACAGCGGATCCCGCAGCTGGAGCTCCCAGCTCAGGTAGGGGCGAACTTCCGACCAGGTCCCTTCTTTCATGTAGGCGCTCGGCTCCTTCCCGGACACCGGAGTTTCCCAGGGGTCACTTGAGACCCCCTCGCCCCTCGGCCTCCGGTGCAGCTCAACTAGTCCGTCCCCACTTCCTCCTGCTCAGTCTCAGAACTTTTCACAAACTCTCCAGCCAATACTCCACCCTCCCTAGCCCGATCACAAACCCCTCCCCTTCCCACTCACTCCTCCTGGTGGTTAGTTCACGAAAGTTGTCTGTCAGGCCCAGACTGGCAGCGCCTATGTAGAGCAGAGGCCCGAGAATCCGGAGTGGCCCCTTGTGCGCCCCATCGCGCCTGACTCCCTCAGACAGGGTCTAAGGAAAGAAAGGCTTTGAGCCAAGTGAGCTTTGGTTACTATCACAAAAGGGAAAAAAAAAAATTAAGAAAGAAACAAAAAAACTTACCAAGTTGTTTGCAGTTGGGGCTGAAGTCCGCGGAGGTGATCGCAGCTTTGTGGCCTTTAAAATAACGTTCCAGAATCGGGTCCTCCTAGGATGGAAAGTTGTCAAGTTTGAAAGCAGCTGCAGAATTCCAACTCTCAGAGGTCAACGAAGCCTGTCCCCGGGGGCCGAAGAGGACTCCACAGTATCCACAGGCAGCAAAGGAGGCGCGGGCGTCACCTCTCCGCAGCAAGGCTCGGGCACTGGCCCTGGGCCTTCCGGAGGAACTCCCAGCCGGAGGGGACCCCAGCCGGAGGGGCCCCCAGCCGGAGGGGCCCCCAGCCGGAGGAGCTCCGAGGCTTGGGAACCCCCAGCCGGAGGAGCCCCCAGCCAGAGGAACCCCCAGCCGGAGGAACCCCCAGTCGGAGGAGCCCCCCTCTGAGGACACCCCCAGGCGGAGGAGCCCCAGGCGGAGGAACCCCCAGTCGGAGGGGCCGCCAGCCGGAGGAACCCCCAGCCTGAGGAGCCGCCAGCCGGAGG